ATCATCATCATCATCATTTTTAAGCAGGTCACACACTCCAAATAAGATGCACTTTTCGGCGAATGTCGTAAAATCTTTAAATACAAACTCTCGCGCTTCTAAAACGGGACTTGATATTTTTCTTTGGCTCCTAGAGAGAGAAAGAGAGATGAAATAGAAACGCGACAATTTTAGCGTACCCCAGGGACGCCTCTCTAATCTAAATGTCAAATTTGTTCTATTTTCACTTACAACCTAATCTAACATATCTCGGCGAAGTAAAAGGAAAAAAAAATTTCGCACTGTCATTGAACTAGAAATGCGAAAAAAAAGAATTTTTTTATTGTTGAATTTTTTTTCAGAAAGATTTTACGTAAAGATTATTTTATTTTTAGAGAGAATTTTTAAAAATAGAAGTGATAAAAATAAAACAAAGAAAATTTGACTTTAATTATTAATAAAGACCAAAAAAAGAACAATGCGAAAGAGAAATTGTTTTTAAATTATTACTTTTTTTTTTGGATTAAAGAATTTAAAAAAAAAATGGTTCGTACCATCAGCTTTAAGGTAAACTATATTTTATCAATATATAACCTCCAGCAGAAACTGGTTTAAAAAAAGAAAAAGAAAGATAAAATATAATTAAAAAATAATTTTTTCACTTGTATAAATTTTTATCAGTCACTATAATATGTGAGATAATGATAAAAATGAGTTCAAAAAACTTGACGAGAAATAAGTTTTTTCTTTTTTTTTCTTTTTTGAAAATTAGGATGAGAGCCACACCTACATTATAGGCAAGAAGAAAAGATTGACCTAATTTATTCGCGAATTTCCCAAACAAAAATTTTTGTAATTCGAATATTGGAGATTTTTCTTTATTTTTTGCAATATTCAACCCAATTCGTAGTTTTTAGTCCTTAAAAAAATTTTTAAATATTATCTTGAAATAGAAAATTGTTTTTTTCACTAAATTTAGACGAAATTTGTATTTTTTTATCCCCAAAAAAATTTTTAGAATTCGAAGTAAAGAGAAATTTGATTTTTTCTGCACAAATTTCAATAAAATAGAGAAAATCAAAATAATCGAAAGGAAAATTTCTCAATTATTTTCTTTTGGAGCAAATTTCTAAACTGAAAAGAAAATTAGCAAACGAATAGAAATCGAAACCAACAGATGAAAAATTTTTATTCTTTTCTCTTGGGATAAATTTCCACAATTAGCGAAAAAATCTTCCGATTTGCCTTCTTTCGCTAATTGTGGAAATTTTTCAAGGAAAATCGGAAGATTTGTCTTCTTTCGATAATTGTGGAAATTTTTCCCTAATATTTTCTCTTGGCGAAAATTGCGCCAAATAAAAAAGCAAAAGAAGGTAAATCGGAAGCAACGAAGGGAAAATTTGTCAGCTATTATTATTTTTTCCGGGGAAAAATTGCGATAAATAGAAAAAAAAGAAGGAAAATCGGAACCAAAGAAGGGAGAATTTCCTGCTAATATTATTTTTTCTTGGGGAAAATTGCGACATATGGGGAAAGAAGGCAAATCGGAACCAACGAAAGGAAAATTTGTCAGCAATTATTATTTTTTTCTGGGAAAAATTGCGACAAATAGCAAAAAGAAGAAAATCGGAGCAATCGAAAATAAAAATTCGATCGAAGCTTGTTTCTCGAATTGAAATACCTAATTGGAAAGCAAAAAAAAAAAAAGAAGAAAAACGAAAATGATCTCGTTTTCAGAGCAATCAACGTTGGCGGATCATATCATCATCATGATCATCATCATCATCATCGTCTAACCTCGAGAACACGCGAAAAGCTTCTTAATACGACTTAAAATATAACGCTGCATCATAGGCGGAACTAGAAATGAATCTTCCGCGTGGGGCGATTGCACATAGATAGTATTTCGCGCGCGCGTGCAGTCAGGGCCGCTGTGACCTTAGCTCCTATTCCTCCCTCCCTCTTTTTCTCTCCCTCTCACTCCCTCAGTAACTACAAACACACGTTTTTGCCCCCGCATCAAAACGAATCGACGTTGTTCCTCGTTGCACCCGCTACCGGCAAATGCAGCCGCATCGGCTCCAACTCTCTTGGAAAACCGGGGAAGACGGCGAGGTAAGGGGAGTGACACGTGCCACAAGTGACGTCACGTCCTAGGAACTGCATCGCTCTTTACGTCGCGTTCGTTGCACACGCGCATTACAACCGCAATATATATATATATTTCCCTCCTTCACCCCCTTTTTTTTATAATCTATACTCTTGCTATTGGCAAAACACAAATCCAACACAAACTCATGTATACAGACAAGACGTGAATAATACTTGGACCCGGTGTGTTCGACACGAGCAATAACAATCGTTACGAAAGGACACTGTGCAAAAAAAATTATATTACATCTTCAGAAACGGCAAGAAAAAAAATGGAAAACTCGTTTTCCGGTTCTCAATTCTGATGGATGGTTTCAAAAAACTTTTCTAAATTTTTCCGTTTCCTCTTTTTTTTCATTTTTACTGAATATTTTCTAAATTTTTCCCTTTTCTCCATTTTTTCATTTTTCAATACTTTTTTTCTATCGATTTTTATTTATTATATACGCAATTTTTGAAGATTTCCCCCCAAGAAGACAAATTGCAAATAATAATTTTTGACAATTTTTTAGACAAATTTTGGCAAATTTTTTTATTTGAATTTTTAATTATTTATCAATGGGAGGAAATGCCGATTGAATCGAAAAAAAATCGTCCTAATTGAAAGGATGAAAAAATTTTTTAAATAAGAAAAGCGAGAATAAAATCGTCCAAAATGAAAAAAAGAATGATTTTTTTTAAAACCGAAAAGAAAATCCTCTTTCTTGAAAAAGAATATTTTTTAAATAAGAAATTCGAGAAGAAAATTGTCCGAATTCGAAAAGAAAAATTAGAAGAAGGAATTATATTTCAAAAAAAAAATTGAAACGAAAATCGTCCAAAGTTGAAAAGAAAAAACATCAGAAAAAGAAATTATATTTCGAATAAAATCGAAAAGAAAATTCAAAAGAAGAAGAAGAAGAAGAAATGATTTTTCCCTCCTCTCTAGAAATATCAAAAGTTGTGTAAGTCCAGTGAAGAATATCTCGAAAGGCAAGAAACGAACTGTTTCTTCTTGCCTCCCACCCATGGGGCAAATTGAAAATTCCCGAGGGTATAATAAATTTCAATTGCAATTTTGAGCGATAAAAATTATCTATCTTTATCTCCCTTGAAACGAGACGACTATATATATATGTATAAATAAAAAGAAAGAGAGAATCTCTGCACCGGTTCGAATTCGTGTAAGTGGAGCACAAGGGCTAAATATAATTTAGGCACGGGCGAGTTTATTTCCGTGATCCCTCGAGTCTTTTGAGTACACCTTCAAACTGGGTCCTAGGAAAATCAATTTCTCTCATTGTACAACTATTTCTTTTTTTCTTTTCCTTCTCGTTTTCTTTTTTCTCCTCGTTTTCTTTTTGTTATCTTTATTGGTTCCCTTCTCGTTTTCTTTTCGTTTCCTTTTTAACGAAAGTGAAACAAAAAAAAACGAAAATAAAACGTTTTCGTTTCCCCTTTGTCTTCTTTTTTTGTTTCCCCCTTCGAGGAGTAATTTCACGTGAATTTCGCTTATGATACAAGGTTATTCTTTACGAGCTTTTCCATCTTCTTCGACCTTAACTCTTTGCCATCATTTTATGTCCCGTATATAGAGTACGGCACAACACGTGCGCTCGAGTGTGAGTTTACGATCTCGACGCCTGCGTGATGGTGTCACACTATAAAACGAAGGAGAGGAGATTTTTGATGCAATTGCGCATATGGAACTGCGAAGGAGGGAAAAGTATGGAAAAGGGGAGTGAAGGAAGCGGTAATTCGTTGTGGCCGCTCCACGAGGCAACTCTGCCAGCACTTCCTGGATCGTTCGCATTCGCCTCCTCCTTCTCCTTTTTTCCAACGTGTTTACCTCCCACTGCATTCAAAAAAAAATTACTGGAACTCTTTTGGTACTCACATGGACGCAATTACCAGAATTCGTCGATATTCAAAAACTCGACAATGAATCTAAATGCCCGAATTTGAATCAATTCTCTTAGAAATTGGAGTGAAAATTCGCCAAACAAACAAAACCTGAAAATTACAGAGAAAATTAGAAAATGGTCATTTAGTTAATTATTTGACAATTTTTGTTCAAAAAATAAACGAACGAAATTTAACAAATTATTTAAATATCACTTTTTCGACTTAAATTCTTTTTTAGGCAAAAAAAAAATTATTTTTCGACTAAAACAATTTTTTTTTCTTAGCCGAAAGTGAATTTTCGACTTGAAAAATTCTTTTTTAGCAAAAAAAAGGATTTTTCTACTCAAACAATTTTTTTTATTAGCTGAAAGTGAATTTTCGACTTGAAAAAGAATTTTTCAAATCGAAAATTCACTTTCGGCTAAGAAAAAAGAATTATTTGATTTAAAAAATGATTTTTTTTGAGAAAAAAAATCAGTTTTTAACTCAAGTAATTCTTTTTTTCTCATCCGAATGTGAATTTTCGTCTTTAAAATTCTTTTTATAAAAAAAAATCATTTTTCGCCTTAAAACAAATTATTTACTCCAAAACAGTAATATTTAAATAATATTTTATCGAAAAGTAAGAAAAAAACTTTACGATTTGTCTTCTTTTTTGTTTGATGAGAGAAAAAAAGCTGTTACCTGAATTTAATATTGTTCGGTTACAATTTATAGCGAAACAAGATATTATGTCTATTCACATGGTCAACAGAATGACAAAACCTTGAGAGCAGCGGTAACTTATAACCTACAGCACACAAAACTTTTTTTTTCACGGACAGTTGTCAACTGGAAATACAGTCTTTAATTCTTTGCTTATTATTTCGTCGCAAATAACATTAGCGACGACTTGTTTTCCTGCTTTTTTCAGAAATGGTTCAATAATAATAATATCATAATAAAAAAAACAAAAAGAAGAAAAGAGAGACAAATATTCTACTTACCTCATCGCTGACGTTGATTTCTGAATTTGGATTTTGCTCAACAAGATTGGATTTTGATCGGACCTGCAAATGCCAAGCCATTGCTGGATGGATCTGATCATTATGTTCTTGTGTTCGCTGTTGAAAAAAAAGAGAGCAAAAATTAATTCTCTGGACGGAAAAAATCACATCATTTTAATGACTAATAAATAAATAAATTAATAAAGGAATTAATTGATAAAGAAATTGATAAAGAAATAGATAAAGAAATTAATAAATAATTTATTTACTTCTTTCAGTTTTTACTTTTTTATTTATTGATTTATTTATTTACTTAATTAGAATTTATTTCAATTATAACAGTAAATTCCAGGAAGATAAAAATATTTTTTTCTCCTCTCGCAAGAATAATTTACCGAAATAAAAAAAAAAATGATGAAAAATTGATTGTAATAATATTTATAATATTTAGATAAAGGATAAAGATTATGGTATTTAGAAAAAAGAAAAAAATAACCATGAACTTTAAAACAGAGAATTTCGCCGATATAATTAAGTCTTTCTCGGCTGTACATTAAGGTTAATTGATGCAGCAATTTTACAAGGCAACTTGATAAAGAGCAACTTAAAATGCAATTACTTGAACTGTTGCAATAATTGTTAGAGGATAATTACTATAATAAGTTGTAAAATGCTGTTCACGACAAACACTACTATTTAACGATCAAAAATGAAATTTTCACTTATTTATATTTAAAGAAAAAAAAAAATCTTTTCTCGATGTGAAAAAATCCATTAAGAACTATGTGTATGTCTGTAATTATAAAACGAATATAGGAAATATTTTGTTCTTACAGTGTAATTGTGGAGAAATTTTTTTGTTTCTTAAGAAAACTATTTTGAAATCGAGAGAAAAAAATTTCTATTTTTTCTATCACCAAAAATTGTCTCTTAGGAAAGAAAATATTTTTTGTCAAGAAAAAAAAACTCTTTCAAGAAAGAAAAATTGTCTTTCAAGAAACTCTGAAAAAAATGTATCAAAATAAGAAAAAAAACCATTTCAAATTTCCATAAAAATGCCTCATCGAATTCAACTCAATTAAACATTAATAATACGTTAAGCAACACTTCCTTAAACATTCTCCATAACGTAATTTGATTTTTCCCTCAAATAATTATAATTCCGAGGAAAATAATTGCAATCACTGCTCTAGAAGCATCTTATATAATTACAACCAATTATTTAATTTCCAGCTATTTCTCTTTCATTTCTTTTACGTATATATAAATATATAAAGAACGAGGAGAAAAAAAAGAAAATAAATAATAAAAATCCTCATAATGGAGGGATTAGGTCTGTGCGCCTTTTGGTCATTAAAAAGAGAACTTGTGGTTAGTGATCCAAATCGAAACAATGACTTCCTGGCTAGAAGTTTTTGAGAAGAAAAAAGAGAAACGAGGACCTCGAGTGCAATATTATATAGTATTATTAAACCTCTCTCGTGTCACCAAGTCATAAAACTCTCCATCCACTATGGCAAAAGTGTAATGAGCCGGTCCTTTCTCCACCGAAACCCCCACAACTCGTCAAGCGTATTTATTAAATAACCAACAGGCAGCGAAGACCGTAATTAAATTATTCACAAAAAGAAAAAACAAAAAAAAAATTTTTTAATTAACTCCCTCGTTAGGTTCGACGTATTTTTTTTCTCTATTTTCCCCCCTCGAGCATTTCTATTTCTTTTTAATCGGAAAAAAAGGAATGATAACAAAACGGAATATTCTCTTTTCTTTTTTTTACTTTCTACTTTCTTTTATTTTTCTCTACTTTTCAATCAGATTTTTCGTGAAAATTACTTTTTCCACTATTGAATTTTTCGTACAATAATTTTTCCTACTATCAAATTTTTTTACGAAATTTTTCTTTCTAAAAATTTTTTTCTACTATTTAATTTTCCAGACAATAATTTTTCCTGCTGACAAATTTTTCGGAAACTAATTTTTCCTACTATTTAATTTTTCAAACCATAATTTTTCCTGTTGACAAATTTTTCGTAAAATAATTTTCCCCACTTTTGAATTTTTCGTACAATAATTTTTCCTACTCTCAAACTTTTCGGAAACTAATTTTTCCTGATATTCAATTTTTCGTACAATCGTCCTGCTATTGAATTTTTCGAACAATAATTTTTCCTGCTATTGAATTTTTCTTAAATTAATTAGAATTTTTCGTTAACTGAATTTTCCTGCTAGAAAATTTGTCGTAAATTAGGAAAAATGGCTAATTTACCTGGAAGGAAGAATTGGTATTTATTTTTCTCGATGCAATAAAAATAAGTGAGAAAAGTCATGAGTCGAATTTCGAAATAAATAAAATTGTACCCTCGGCGTGTGTTTCTACATGAAAATTCTTGGCTAGTGTCTCTGATATATTACGTCAGCGCGTGTATAATACTTTCCGAGGACGCGGCACTTGGCTCTTGACTTACCAAGAGGACTTTGGAAAAGCTGTCCGGTCAGGGCCGTTAAAATATATATAAATATATGCCGAAGAGAGGTGAATTCCGGCTTTTTTTTCTTCTTCTTCATCTTCTTCTTTTGAAGAAGTTACTACATCGAGAAAGAGGTGCACAATTTGCCTCAGATGATAATGATCTTCGTTTTGCTCATTAGGAGTAATTCTCTCTTTCAATCACTCGTCTCCAGTCTCTCTCTCTCTCTTGATAAGAGAAAAAAAAGAAAGAGAAAAAAAAGAAAAAGAGAAAAAAAGAAAGAGAAAAAAAAGAAAAAGAGAGAAAAGAAGAAAGAGAAAAAAAAGAGAGAAAGGAGAAAGAGGCGAATCAACAGGTTTTTTGAGAAGTAATTAACAACTATTTCTTCCCAAGAGAGAAGTCCTCTTAATTCCCTCTTTTCTTATCGAAAAAAAATCGAGAATTCCACGTGTGTGTATTTGTGAATTCAATTTTCGTTTTTCGACTCGTCCGATTGACGACCGTTACGAAACGAACGAAAGCGCTGTCACTCTTGAAAAGAATTGACAACACACTGCAGAGAGAAAAGAGAAAACCAGTCTCTCTAAGTCATCGATAAGAATCGTTGAGAGAGAAGCTTGATTTACCGTTTCTCCGTGCGTGTAAGTGTAACGCCCACTGGCACCTGTGCTACCATATAAACATATTCTTTTTTTTCCTTCTTCTTTTTCTTCTTCTTCTTCATCATCATCGTCGTCTTCTTCTTTTTTTTCCACCAAACAGCCGTAAAACCGGGTCTAGCTTCAACTATGAAACACTGCCAAGCTTAAAAACTTGTTCAACTTTTTTTTTTTACCCCCGTAGCTGCTGCTGCTGCTTCTGCTGCAATTACTGTTTTTACTGACAATCTTGATAGCGGGTCAGAACTTTTTAAAAAATTCAACAACCATGAGCGTCGAGAACCATTCATCAAAATGGAGAATGGGAGACAAAAAAAAATTAATATCCACATAATCTCAAGAGGACGAAAAATCTACAAAAGAGAAATAAATGCGAATTAATAAAAGCTGGAGAGTATTTTTCTAAACAAATTATTAAAATTCGGAAATTGGAAATATTACCAAAAAAATCGTAAATAAGGAAAATAAGTTTCGATTTTAATTTGTTTAAATGAAAAAAAGAGAATAGGAGACAAAAATTAAATTTACAGAATCTTAAGAAGTTGAAAATCGACAAAAAGAAAAATAAACTCGAATTAATTAATTTTTAATTAACTAATTCTTAATCAATTAATTTTGAAATCAAAAGAATTTATTCGTACAAACAAATAAAAACTCGGAAATACTTCAAATACTCCAAGAAATGAGAAATAGAAAGAAATTCTTCCAATTTCAATTCATTTGGAAAAATACCTCTCTTCCCCAAGAAAATCTCATGTTCTTGACATTTAAACAGCAATCAACATAAGTTTAGATTTCTAATTGAAAGCGTAAATTTCAAATCCAGCAGAGAAAATAAATGTTGCGAGAAATTTTAATTGATTTCAATAAAGCAATGAAATAATAAAAAAAGAATTTAATTTTGTAATTTACGACTGTATACAAAGTTGTAAAAAATATATTTATAAGACAGAGAGAGAGAGAGAGGAGGAAAAAAATTGAATATTTCTTCGCAAAAAGAATTTAATCGGGCATTTTAATTGGGTGTGTACTCTCCGTGTGTATATCCCCTTGTGTGTGGAAAGTGACTCTAAATGGGATTACAAAATACCAAAGTTAACACGTGCTCATTTCAAGGTTGCTGCAGACTTAGCGTGTCAGTGTAATTGCATAACTCGTTGCTTTTATCATTCGCACTGATGTTAATTAAGTGCTAAGCAACGGCAGCTTCTTTTGGACGCGGAAATAAATTTTGAATACTATTTATGCCGCACACACGACGCGCGTCTTTCCCTCCCCAAAAAAACTCAATTTTCACATTCTCTCTATACAGCTGAAGCATTTTTCTATCACATTATTTTGTTTTACAAATTAATACAAAATTGGAATGAAATTAAGAAAAATTATTTTCTTACAGAGAAAAATTTGCTATTACGTATTGTTTTCAATTTAATAAATTATCTACTTACAAGACTCGAATCAGTGAAATTATTTAAAAATACTGACTTTACGGTCAAAAAATAAATAAATAAAAAATTACGGACCATTTACAGACTAATTATAATTAGAACTCGAAAAATTTCAGAGTTTTGAAATTCGATGAATCATTTTAATGGAATAATTTTTTTCTTTTCTTTTTTTTTGCAGATTAATTTGGATTTACCTTCTTCTTGCGGGGATGGAGGTCATTCAACATGAAAAAGTCAGTGAGGAGACCGTCGTCGGGTGTTGATCCTGGCTTAGGACTGTGTGAGGCATGAACTTGATTGGACCAGGTGGTGGCGTTATTAGCGGAAGTACCCTCATCACTCAAAGGTGGACTGGGAGTCCCGCTTCTCCAGGAAGCACCGCTGCTGCTGCTGCTGTTGGACGTTCCACCGACTCCTGGTGAGACAACGACGCCATCCTCACGTCCACGCCATGAACCTGCAATAATTTTCATCCCAAAAAGAGGGGAAAAAATATTAATGAAAATTAAAAATTTAATTTAAGAAAGAAAAAAATGGAATTTTAATTGCAAGGAAAGAAAAATTGGAAATTGAATTTGGAAAAAATGGAAATTAAATCGCAAGGAAAGAAATTGGAAATTGAATTTGGAAATTCCATAAATGACAAGAAATTGGGAATCAGATAAAAAGGTAAAATACTGTTTACATTTTGGTTTGTTTTTAATCATTTTCAATTTTATCAGTTTCGATAATAATGGGAATTTAAATAGCAGAAATAATTATTGATCATTGAATTTGAAAAATGACAAATTCCAGTAATTGCCAAAAAAATCAGATAAAAGCGTAGAGAATATTTTTTTAATTATTTAGTTTCTCTAGTTCATAATAATTTTTTTCAATAATTGCCAAAAAAAAACCAGATAAACTGTATATAATGTTTCTTTAATTATTCAATCGCTACAAGCCATAAGAAATCAAAACGAAAAAAATCAGATAAAGTTTAGCCAAAAATTAAAAAAAAAACTATTTTTTGTTACTCAATTTTCTCTCTAGAATAAATTCCAATCTCACCGGAAATTTTCATAATATTTAGTAAAAAGAGAATATTGTCGCTCGATTTTTGAAGAATAATTTTTCTTTTTTATTACAAAACGTGAGTCGCGCGGGCGCGAGATGATAATTTCGTTGATTATTTCCTCGCTGGAGAATATTGAGAGCAGATTGCACAATTTATTCGACTTGTATATAGATATATTTATACATATACACATGCTGATCGCATAAACAAATCTCGATTGAGGCACTTCGTGCTCCGGTAATATTGTTTTGATGCAGCATTTTGCCCCGAAGACGTGAAAGCGGTTCAGTTTCGTGAAACCAATCACGAAAACTCCTTCTGGTGTTTTATTTCTGTTATCAACGCTTGATTTATTGCCTCCCCTCCGATTCAAACTGCTATCGTGTCAGTTAAACTCGAATTATGGTTCAATGTAACTTTCAAAACTATAGATATATATATACATAAGGAAATTACTTTCCTTGAATCTCTCGGGTGTCTAAATGGTTGACTTTCAATTTTTTTTCTTCTTCTTCTTTTGCTTCACAATTTGTCCAATTATTCTCGGCGAGACATTGAATAATACCAAATTACACAATTTTCCATCTATTTTCATATTGGCATTTTATTTTAATTTTATAAATGTAATTTTCAGATAAAAAATTCCCAAGGATGGAAAAAAATTTTTTTATAGAAAAAGAATAATAATAAAAATTAATTGTTTGGAAAGAATCGAAATTCCTTTTATTATTTATTCTTTTTGTTTCAAGAAGATAAAAATTCATTTTTTATTTATTCTCTTTGAATTAAATCGATAATTTTTGGAAAGAATCAAAATTCCTTTTTTTTAATGCTTTTTGTGTCAAAAAAATAAAAATTCATTTTTTATTTATTCTTTTTGTATCAAAAAGATGAAAATTCATTTTTGAATCAAATCGACATTTTTTTATACAGAGAGAATAAATAAAAGAATGAATTTTTATCTTCTTTGATACAAAAAGAATAAATAAACAAACGATTCTTGATAATTTCGTTACAAAAAGAACAAATAAAAATGATTTTTCATCTTTTTGATAGGAAAAAAGAAATAAAAAATTAATTTAATGAATTTAATAGATAAAACAGTATTTTTTTTTTTGACAAAAAAAAGAATAAATAAAAAATTAATTTTTTTAATACAAAAAGGATTTTGATTTCAAATCATTGTCGTTGATAGATTTTTTTTGTCATCTTTTTCGAAAATAAATAAAATTGATTTTTTTTTTATTTTCTCCGAGTGATGAGAGGAAACGTCGTCACATTTGATGGACATTTTTGCTCCCGGTGTATTTTGCGTGAATCAGCATTGCCATCCGTAATAAGAACTTTGGACCAAAGCTCAGCACCGTGTGTGTAAACGAGAGACAAAGGAACTCTCTCGTTGATTCCAAGTGTCTTTTGATAAATCTCTCGATATCTGTAGTAGAATTTTCTCAAGCTAGAAAATTGAGAACAAAAAGTTGAGAGACGATAATTTTATTGACTTGTTGCGTGTTTATTCCAAACAAAAAGCGTCAACGATAATCGCGCGCGCACAAAACCCGCAGCGAGTATTATATGAGAAATCCACGCGTCTATATCTCTTAAAAAATCACAGAGAGTTGAAAATTAATTATTAATTCCTAGTAAATAATTAACAGTCGGCAATTCATTAACATAATCAACAATGAGTTTTAATTAATAGAGTATTAATTATTAATTTCTAATAAATAATTAATTATAAATAAATTGTTAATTAATAGTTAATTATTAATAAATAGTTAATTAATAATTAATTATTAATAACGAATTAACAATAACTAATAACTAATTAATTATAAATTAGCAATTATTAACTAATAATTAATTAATAATTACTAACTAATTAATACCGCGACAATAGTTTCTTTTTTCCGATTCAAAAACGAAAACATTTTCGAAATTAATTAATAATTAATTCAATATTGAAATAATTTTTAATTTTAGTTATTGTTAGTTAATTTATAATAAATTATTAATTTAAAATTATATTTAGAAAATGATTTCGATTCTAAAAGGGAAAAAAGGAAACTATTGTGGCGGTAATTAACATATCAGAATAATATCCAAACCTTGAGTGTTTTTCGATTTCTTGTAATAGAATTGTTCTTGTTTACCGTGAACGAGATTGCGGGACAAATTGATATTAAAATCTATTGTACAAGGCTCCTCCGAGGAGAGACAGAGAGAGAAAAATCTCGTTCATGGCGAGCAAGAACGATTCAAATGAAGCAGAACAAGAACGAAAAAATGTCAAGTGAAAAATTATCAACGTCACGTTTTAGATTACACGCACAGATGTGTTTATGGAAATTCGAATAAATTTCAATTAAAACGCGTGTCAAAGCGACAAACAAGAATCTTGAAAAAAAAACACTCAACAAAAGCATGTTTTTGAATTATCGACACTTTTGTTTTTCTTTTTTCTCTCTCTCCCTCTCTCTGTCTCTTTATTTCAATTCTTGTTCTTTTTTTTGTCTTTTTGCGCTAATCGTGTTAAGCATCCATGTGGAATCATCGTTTATAAAATAATAGTAATAATTGATACGGCAATGTTTATAAAACTCATTGCTGATAGTTACGTCATTTTATCACTGCATCATTTTATAATAGTCAAACGCATTTGAAACGCAGAAATGAGATTTATCTTTTATCATAAAATGAGGGAATAAATTTCATGACAATAGATCTGCTCTGATTTTTTTTTGTTTTGTTTCTTTTTCTCTTTTTTAAACTCCGCGAGAATTACTCAAGGCAATACATCTATTTTATCTAATTTTTTTTCGTTCCAATTTCTAATTTTGTCTCGAATTGTTAAATATCAATTGTTGTCTTAAATTTCCCACATATTTGATTGCAAATTTAATTGTTTGTTAATTACATTTTAAGGAAAAATGAAAATTTTGGTCTTAAAAAAATGTGTAATTCTTTTCTTAAATTTTTTTTTCTTTAATTAATTTTATTAAGTTAATCGAAGAAAATTGATTACTTCTTGGAAATTAATTTCTCAAGTTTAATTATTTTTTGGGAATTAATTCCTAAAGATTACTTATTTTTTAGAAATTAATTTCTGATCTCTTGGGAATTAATTCCTGAAAATGAGATATTTTTTGGGAATTAATTCCTGATAATTAATTATTCTTTGGAAATTAATTCCTGAAAATTAATTATTTCTTGGGAATTAATTTCTCAAGTTTAATTATTTTTGGCGAATTAATTCCTGAAGATTAATTATTTTTTGAGAATTAATTTCTGATCTCTTGAAAAATAATTCCAAAAAATGAGCTATTTTTGGGAAGTAATTCCTGAAAATTAATTATTCTTTGGAAATTAATTCCTGAAAATTAATTATTTCTTGGGAATTAATTTCTCAAGTTTAATTATTTTTTTCTTCCTCATAGAGGAAGGATTATATTTGGGAATTAATTTCCAAAGATTAATTATTTTTTGGTAATTAATTTCTGAAAATTAATTATTTTTTGGAAATAAATTTCTGAAAATTAATTATTTCATTATTTTTCGAAAATTAATTTTTGAAAATCAATTTTTCTTTGGGAATTAATTCCCGAAAATTAATTATTTCTTGGGAATTCATTATTTTTTGGAAATTACTTTCTGGAGATTAATTATTTGGTTTTGGGAAATTATTTCTGAAAATTAATTATTTTTGTTCAAAAAATAATTTTGGAAAATTAATTTTTATTAATAATTTCTGCTATTTAAGAAAAGAAGAAAACAAGGGGAAAAAAAGTTGTATTACCGTAATTTTGATCACCGATCGGTAGTTGCTTTTGGCCATGTGCACAGGGCGATGCAGAGCCCAATGAAAATGAAATGAGCAATTTCGCTGCGTCAGTATCGTTCATGCAAATACCATTGGCATCGATGCGACAATTTCCAGCGTCTTTGCAATTATGATGTGGAACGCAATCATTAGATTCATTGCCGGAACTAGTTCTACGTTTTCGATTCCTGTAATAGAGAAAAAAACAGATATTAGAAATTAATAATTTAGAGAAAGTTTATAATATCCACAAAAATACCATCACCATTATACAATCTACAGGAGAAAAAAAATATTATGTACTTAAAAATATTTTTAAAAATATTTAATTAATATTAAATTAACGAGTTAATTCTTAACAAACTGAAGTAAATTTAAAAGCTAATTTTCAAGTAAATTTGCAGTAATTGTCGAATAAATAATTTTTTAATTGGAGTAAAAAATTTAGTATATGAATAAAAAATTAAATACACGAATAAAAATTGAGTAAACGAATAAAAGTTAAATAATCGAATGAAAAATTAAATTTAACTACAAAATAGATTTAATCCAAATAAACGATTTAAGAATAAACAATTTAATAGGAATAAAATATTTAATACGAATAAAATATTTATTTGCGAATAAAGTATTTAATGAGATTAAAATATTTAATACGAAAAAACAAAAAAAGAGTAAAATGTCGACTCGTTGAAAAAATGTAATAAAAGTACAAGGAAGAAAAAAGTAAATAAATATTTTACCTATGCAAATAAGAAAGAAAATAAAAATTTTAAATACGGATTTTGAAATTTTTAGAATGAAATTCGAGATTTTTCGTAAAAAAAAGAATTATGTCACTGCGAAAAAAAAACAATTCTAAAGAATCTAGTTATGAAGACGGGCGATTTTACTACGCCAGTCACGAAACTGTCGAAATTTCACAATAATTTCTTTTCCTTGTTTTCAAATATCCAATTTTTTCGTGTCGAGTTCAAAATACGAGATTTAAATGAGAACATCGGATTTAATCAACTCTTTCAAATTCCGTAAAACCAAAAATAGAATCATTTGTAAATTCCAAGTTTATTTTTAACTTCTTTTAAATATTCTACTACGAACAATAATAATATTCCACTGAATAATAATTCGGTAGTAAAATAAAAAAAGGAGAACAAAAATAAAAAATATTGAAATAAAATACTTTTAAAATAAAATAGAGAAGAAAGGAAAAATAGAAAAAAAAAGAAAAAGAGAAAAAAGAAGGAAATAAATAAAGAAAGAAAAAAAATAAAAAAAAGAATGAAGAAAAAAAGAAAGAAAGAAAGCAAAAATTATTTTCCGTCCTATATGAAAATAAATGAAATTAAATTTTCGTAATTGAATAACAAAGTTTGTGAAAAATAAATTGCGAAATTGACGATTTGGAGATGCAATAAGGAAATATTTTGCGCTATTCAAGAAGAAGAAGAGGACGAGTGCCATTAACCCCAGCAGTGTGTGGCTATATTAATCTGAATAATGGACTTGTGCTAACGTCCTCTGAATTGTTATATAGAAAACTGGCGAGTAAATAAGTTAAAGGGCAGGTTCGTGTGTATTTACGACCTTAACGTTGCAGCACGATACTTGACGACCTAGATTCTCCCTAAAGTTATTCGTGTCACATTTCCCGTTAGGCGATTAGACCAAACCGCTAGATAAACTCCCCTACGCACTTTCGCACAAGCACTTTTCGCAAAGTGCATCCACTACACAGCAGTTCCGTTATATCAAGGAATCGTATAATGCATTCAATCGCAAAAAGCAGGATATTTATTATTGTAAACAACAAAATGTGCAAGTGAAGAAAAACGAAGAAAAAATTAAATTTACTACTAACAAAAATTTATTATTGATAATAATGATATTATAAAAAAAAAGAAAAAAATATTTTCCATTTTTTATCTAAAAAATCATCGCATTCCTTCGGTAATAAACTATATATTTATTATTACAGGGTTGTCGTAATAAAACAGAAATTAATTTTTGTTTTTTGAAACAAAAATTTAATTTTGATTTTCCCTGACTTTTCCCTGATTTTCAGATTTTTTCCTGACTGATTTTGACTTTTTCCCTGGCCCTAAAGAATATTCTGAGTCACTCTAAAAATTATTAGATAGTCAAAAAAATGTTCTATTTAATTTACGAATTTCCTTAATTGTAAAATTATGCAAAAACACCAATAAATTCTTTTTTAAATAAATATTTAATTATTATTATTTTTCCATAGGAATTATGAGTTTCCGAGTCTTTGAATTATTCCAAAGAATTTTATCAAAAAATTTGAGAATAATTGAATTTCTCTAAAGAATTTTATTATTTATGAAAATAGTTGAATTCTTGACAAGAATTTTATCAAAAAATTTGAGAATAATTGAATTTTTCCGAAGAATTTCATTATTTATGAAAATAATTTAATTTTTGAAAAGAATTTTATTATTTATGAAAATAATTGAATTTATGACAAGAATTTTATCAAAAAATTTGAGAATAATTGAATTTGTCTGAAGAATTTAATTATTTATAAAAATAATTGAATACTTGACAAGAATTTTATCAAAAAATTAGAGAATAATTGAATTTTTCTGAAGAATTTCATTATTTATGAATATAATTGAATTCTTGAAAAGAATTTTAGTATTTATGAAAATAATTGAATTCTTGACAAGAATTTTATCAAAAACTCTTGAGAATAATTGAATTTCTCTGAAGAATTTTATTATTTATGAAAATAATTGAATTCTTGACAAGAATTTTATGAACAATTTTTTTTCAAGTTTCATTTATTGTAGGAATTTTATTAAAATATAGAAAATAATAGAATTTTTTCGAAAAATTTTATTAAAAATTTAAAAAGAATAGAATTGTTTCGAAGGATTTTTAAAAATATTGTAGAAAATGATTGAATTCTTTCGACAAATTTTATTAAAAATTTAAAAAAAAAATAGAATTGTTTCGAAGAATTTTTAAAAACTATAGAAAACAATTGAATTCTTTCGAAAAATTTTATTACAAATTAAGAAAAAAATTGAATTATTTCGTGAAATTTTTCTGAAAATTACTGAATTTTTACAAAGATTTTACTATTAAAAAAAATAATTTAATTGTGAAAGGTTTATTAAAATTTTTTAAAATAATTGAATTCTTCCAACGAATTTTATTCAAGTTTATAAAAATAATTGAATTTCTGTGAAGAATTTTATTATTTACGTAAATAATTGAATTCTTGCTTAGAATTTTATTCAAGTTTATAAAAATAATTGAATGTCGATAAAGAATTATATTATTTATAAAAATAATTTAATTCTTGAAAAGAACTTTGTTAAATTTTTTTTAAATAATTGAATTCTTGCGGCGAATTTTATAGTAATCTTTTTAAATAATTCTTTTTTTTCGAAAAATTTTATAAAATTTTGTATTTTAAATAATTGAATTCTTGTGAAAATTTTATCACTTATGAAAATAATTGAATTACAACGAAGAAATTTATAAAAATTGAATAATTGAATTCCTGTGAAATTTTGCCAAAAATACTATTAAAATTTTTCTAAAATAATTGAATTTCGATGAAGAATTTTATTATTCATAAAGATAATTAAAATTTGGACGAGATTTTTTTTTTTAAATTTTTGAATTTTGAATATATTTAGAATTCATGGTAATTTCAATAACACAAAAATTCAAAATTTTGTTATAAATTCTAATCATTTATTTTTTTCGAGTACTTTTAATAAATTTTTTCTTTAAAATTTATTAGTGAGGAGATAAGTTTAAGGATATTTTTTAATGGATGGCACATAAACATTTATGGCGCTAAAATTTAATCTTAAACCTTAAATTGCAGCTTTTAAAAAGAAATAACAGAACAGGATGTGGACTGTTTATTTTCCAGATTTTATTAAGGACGCGTATAATTGGAATGTTGATGACAATTAAAATAATAAAAAAAAACTTAAAAAAAATTTTTTTCCTTTATTAACAATAATAGGCTTTCAGTGACAATCCTTCCGCGCCAGCGTAATTTCTTGCAGCGGAAATAAAAAACAAAATAAAACTATAATAAAATTATAAAAATAAAACAAAAAGTCAAAAATAAAAAAGTAAACTTTCTCATATGATAACAATGTATATAAATATTATGTAACATTGTTGCAGAATCGAGAAATCCGTCCCTGCAATTTTTCCCAGTGGATGAGGATCGACCTGCACGCGAGGACTCGACGTTGATTCGAGGTAGCTTGCAATATACCAGTCGGTGTGGTTGCAAATTACTATGGACTTTCCGAGAAAACGTTAAGGCGCACCACCATAATTTCCTACCCTCACTCTCTTTCCCCCAACGAACCGGTCGATTTTCAGGATTAACCTGCTTTTCACTCTCCTATATAAAACACATATTGCGAAGAAAAAAAAAAGAACAATTTTATTTCCAACGAGCCGCAATATAAGAACAGGAAATTTAAAAATCAATTTCGTAAATCGATTCCCGTTTAATTAAAAGCATGCAAAAAAAAGAAGCTCCACCCCAAAAAAGATGATTCGAATGGAACTGCAAAAGAAAACGAAAAGAAAAATACAAGAACGGAGAGAGGGAGGCCATTTATGGACTTTCAATCTGAGGACATTGAGCACGAATCGCGAAACGAAGAATCTCAAGGCCATCGCTTATAACCGTTTCAGGTGGAACGGTACATCATGAAGGAGTCGAAAGTGAAACCGGCATGATGCGATGTTTCGAAAGTACCATATCCGGCAAACTTTCTGCATCCTGGACCCCATTTACGATTTCAAAACAAATCCCCCATCTCCAGGACATGTCGCGTAAGCAAAACATTCAGTACTTACAATCATAAAAACTTTGTCTCTTCCTCTCTATAAATTAATTATTACCCCCAAAAAATCCTCTTTCGCAATTTATATGACTTTAGTCATATTTTCAAATTTAGTCAATTTCTCGTCAGCCTTGAAACAATATTCGATCAATTTTCTCTGAAGAAATTTACCATCATCATTCTTCTCGCGAATTTTTGAATAAACCAGTGTTTGCGAAATATTTAATGACATACATTTTTACGAGAGAAATCATTTCCTCGTTCTTCGAAGAATCTTACATTCATTAAAATTCGCCGGACACTTGAAATATTTAGCAGTGTTTGTTGGAATGAAA